TGTATTTCCATCTGCAACATGGTCAGGTAGGGTATGGGAGCCAAATTCACCGAGAAATGAATGGGAAGGTATACTGACACGTCAGAAAGGGGATCCAGTGTCAATGTACGTGACAATTCGGCATAACTCCCATTAAGACACCAAATTCCCTTTTTGACATTTGGTCACCCCTTGCAATTCCTTGACCATGTTGGCAGGGGCGATCTCGTACAACTGTTGATTTTGGGGGGTCATTCCATTCGGATTCCAGGCTCCCCCGAGAGGCCCGAGAGTGTTTATTGGCCAAATCCTGGCGGCGGCTCCTCCTGAATGGTCAAGACATTTGGAAACCCCTAGAATGGGGTGACGGTTTCCAAATGTCAGTGGCTCCTTCTGATTGCTCGTGACATTTGGAAACCCCTAGAATGGGGTGACGGTTCCCAAATGTCAGTGGCTCCTCCTGAATGGTCAAGACATTTGGAAACCCCTAAAATGGTGTGTCTGGGTTTCGAAGTGTCACGGACAAAAGAAGCGGATTTGCCTGTGTAAAAGTGGTTGAAAATGCTTAGCTAAGATTAGATGTGCCATAAAACGCTGAAGGGGCGCTTTAAAGATGTGGGACAGTGCATTAAAACCGTTCTAAATAGCAAACACACGCTCCAGCAATGCGTGACATTTCGCAACCCCGCAGCTGGCATCTTATGGGTTTCGAATTGTCACAGAACGTAAACCTAATGTAGAAATAAATAAATAAATCTATATGGTGCCAGAGCTGCACTGTCCTTAAAAACAGCTTTGTTTAAGAAAGCAAGCCCACCCAACCCCCACGCAGATTCGCACCTCCGTACTTCACTGCTTGCATGGTAGTTCAAACTTGGCCAAAAGGTCACATGAAACAGACAGCGAGAGAGAGAGAGCATCTTGAAGACAGACAGCAAAATATCTCTTTGAATTAACTACATCAAAGTAATTTTAAATAAAGTAGCAGTTTGTTATTTATTTTTCAGGTTATTTGTTCGTAATAAGAGCTGTGAAAAATTGGTTTATTGTTGAAAGTGTTATTTTAATGGCAATTGTAATCATTTTGAACCATTTTGAAGTGTCACAGATGAGAGCTGCCAAGTGTGACTATATGACTATTAGCATTATAAGCTCTGTTTTTCTGTACAAAGCCTCTTCCGGCTCTTTTAAACCAGGAACTCCCAAAAAGACGAAGTAGACCACTTTAGATTTTATAAAAAAAATAACCGTACTGGTTTATTCAGAGGATCACAGGTAAAATTAACATCACACGTCCAGATCTCTCCCACCACCAAACCTGCACGCAGGCAGCTTGGAAGATGAAAAACCCTGGACCACAAAACCTATATAATTTTAATGATTTTGGGCTAGCCCCATACTACGCAGGGATGTCAAACCGTGACGTCACCTGATATGCCAGCTTGCAGCTGACCATAACGATAGTCGTGGTCCTATTTTTAAGCTGAATTTGTAAATTTAGAGCAGCAGGATGGAATGCAGAAACTTAAAGGCAGATCGTGCCCTGCAGTGGAATTTTCCACCAGCGGCCCCCCTCCCCTCCCCCCCTCTCACTCACAGACACACTAGGCACAAAGACACAAACCATCTCCCAAATGATTGTTTATTTAAAAACTGAGTTATTCAAAGCAATAATGTTTTAAAGTAGTTTTTCTTTGTCAGAAATTAGTTCAATGAAATTTATCCCAGAACAATAATAATAATAATAATAATAATAATGAATAAAGAACAGGAGAGCATAATGGATGCTTTGCAGCATTCACACAATTATTGTTCATTATTATTATGTATCTGATTTATTTTTATTTATTTTCTTCAGACATGACACTGCCAAAAAATAAAAATGCATGCCCCATCTGCATGAAGACCTACGCGGCAATGTCCAAACATTTGAAGGCAAGCCACGGGGTCTTAAACCTCCAAGAGCGCCAGCTCCTCCTCAACCTGGCAAGCAATCGGGTGAACATACGCCGTCAGGCATGTCCAGTAATGGGGTGCAATTATAATAGCACCAGGCTGGACCAGCATATCCCCAGTTGCCACACGGAGCTGAACGAGGCACAGGTCCAGCAGTACCTGCAGTGGGCCAGGAGAGCAACAACCATAGCTCTCCTGAAAGAGCTGCGGTCCACAGACCCAGCAGTGCCGCTGGCCTCCTGCTTGGATCTGGGTCTGGAGGAGGAGGAGGAGGAAAGATACCAGCAAGGGCCTCCTCTTGAAATGATGAGCCACCAAGAGCCACAATGCCCGAACGCAGACTGCGTGGCGCAACTGAGGAGCTGGCAGCAGTCAGCGATGGAAAAAGGCCGGAAGGCAGAGGTGTTGGAGGAGGAGTTGAGACAGCTCCGTGGCGCCTATCAAAAGCTGGCCAAGAAATTCAACCGGCTTTCCAAGGTTAGTGAGTGAATTAAATTGGCTGACACTAGTGACAAAGTTACACGATTAAGCTTTTTCCCTGTGTTTTTTTTTTTCTTCAGGAGAGGGGAACGGAGGCTACAGTGGCGGTAAGAGGAAGAGAGGAGGAGGAGGAGAAGGATGACCACGAGCAGCCTGGCCCATCGTATGTGCCTGACGAGCAGCCTGGCCCATCGTATGTGCCTGACGAGCAGCCTGGCCCATCGTATGTGGCTGACGACAGGGCCCCGGCCCATTGTATGTGCATGATGAGCAGCCCGGCCCATTGTATGTGCCTGATGAGCAGCCCGGCCCATCGTATGTGCCTGCACCAGTGCCAGAGCCGGCGGCAAAAGGAGGACCTGGCAGTGCGGAAGGCGTGGATGAGGAAGGCCTGAGGAAAGTGGCAAAAAGGCTCTTTGCGGGGACGGGCAAAGGGACCTTCACTCGCCATATAAAGTTCCCAGAGTCGATGGGTGGGTATTACTACATTTTGGCAGTTGGTATTAAGTAAATGTGTTTTTGATCCATGTCATTTTCATCTCTGCACGTTTGTTTTATTGAATGAAATGTTTATTGTGATTTTTTTAACAAAAAATTACTTTAAACAATACCAGGCCTTCCACGAGGGCAGCTGTCCCTCTGCAAAACACCGGGAGAATGCCTTCTCGAAGGTCAGCCGCATCAGGTCCTTTTTGGCCTTCATGGCCGGCAAGGACTCCTCCCTGGCAACCTGGCGCTTTTTAGATAAGGCGGAGCAGATCATCCAGTAAGTGCGGTCTCGCTGCTCGCTTGCTTCTTTCTGGGTTTGACATGTATGTATGCATGCATCAACCTATGACTGTATGTGTGTTCCCCCCCGCAGATGGCCCAACGTCCTGGCCGCTTCGGGGAAAAATATTACTACGGCAAACTTTTATTTGAGGAATGTCCTCCAGTTCATGATCTATTTTAAGGAGACCCCCCCGAAGTTGGCCAGGCTCTCCCAAAGCCAGATTACTGGCGTGATCCGGGCCGTGAGGCAGGCCATAAAATCAATCTCAAAAAAGATGTTGGCCCACCAGCTGACGACCAAGGACAAAAAGTTGTCCAAAGTCGTTTCCCAGGAGTCGCTCAGGCGGTGCCAGGTCGGTGCGCGGAAGGCGATTCCTAAGCTGCTGAGTAAGATTTGTTCACCTCACCCTGAACACACGCTGCGCTTTCTCCACCACATCACATTTTTCACTCGATTAACCCTTTCTGCCATGTCCCCCTCAGAGGAACTCCGGGAGGACTACACCGTGCAGCTGAGGAACGCCTTCTACGGCTATTTTAGCGCCTTTATCGCATCGATTTACGGGCACCACCCGGGCGTCTTTAAGAATATGACTGTGGCGGAGGTCAGGGGAGCGGCCACTGAGGGCCGGCCTCCCACGGGCTACGTCATCCGTGTAAGTATGACCGAGCTCACCTGGCTACATCTCTCAGGTGTCAATTCATTCATTCATTCATTCATTCATTCATTAGATTATTTATCGATATATTTTTATTTTTGTAATAACGCATCGCAGGTGAAAGAGCACAAGACAGCCAAAGATTTTGGACCGGCGCAGATGTTCCTGGAGCCGGAGGAGTACGACTGGCTCCTCAAGTGGCTCCAGGTCAGGGAGCGCTGCAATCCTCCGGGGGACTGGGTGTTCTTCACCCCAGGAAAAGGGCCGCTGAAGAACCTGGTCCGGTATATGCAGGAGGCGTGGGCGGAGATGGGCTTGCCCGGCAAGCCCACCTTCATCGACCTGAGGACCGCCGTGTCTGCACACGTGAGATTCTGCTTGCTTGTTCGTTTAAGTTCATTCCACTGCTCCTCGTGCGTCACTCTGCTTTCTCACTTTCTCTCATTGCAGGCAAAGAACGTGCACGTGCCGGAGGTGCGCAGCAAAGTGGCAAAGTTTATGTGTCACAACACTGCCACCACTACCACGGCTGACCGCTACTACGCCCTCCACATGGACGTAGAGCAGTCGCGTGCGATGAGGCGCCACTTTGAGGAGGCCTCCACTCTGCCCCACCTTGACTCACCCTCGTCCCCGCCAAAGCCCAAGAAGGTTTGCCCCAGAAAAGCTACAGCTCAGGAGGAGAGTGACAGCACCTCACTGAGTGACGAGGCGGTCCCCTACCAGGAGGCGGGAGACTCCTGCTTGGAGGAGCAAAGGTGGGAGCTGGTATCGGAGGAAGAGGGACAGGAGGAGGAAGAGGGAAGAGGAGGAGGACGTCACTGCGCGGCCAGCAGCATCTGTAAGAAATGTGTTTTTAAAAATTAATCAAATACAGAAAGAGAGGTGAAAGTACTAAGCACTCAATATGTTTTTTACTCCACAGACACCAGTCAAGACCCAGAGGAGGGAGATGTACAAATAAACAAGGTGCATAACAACAAGGTACACAGGTGCCTTCAGGCTCAACATGGAGGGATGTGACTACTGGAGGCTGAATGTGGGCTCTGGTCACGGCTGGGAGACGCTTCCAACTGACCTGCTTGTACCATCATTTCTTTCTCACTAACCAAAATGAATGGCTGTAAGACTACTCCTGCATGGATGGGAACTGTTTTCTCTTGGTCGCCACATTTTCTATCGGACGCCCAAAAGCCCCGACAACTCAGAAAGAGCCTTTGACATGGATGTTAAAAATGTTCAACGACTCAGTGTACTTCAGTGCATGATGTGAACTAATGAGTTGGCTAAAAATTAAAGTAGGATTGTGAGGCAGGAAAACTGTCTTTTTCGGCATTAAAGACTCTAACCACCCACCGGGTGATGTAAAATATTTAATAGCATTAAATAGTCAAGGTGTACATGTTTTATTGTTTTGCTTTCTTCCTCAAATACCCAGTCATTAAAATTGCTCTCCTTCTACATTTCTGCCTCTTATTGCAGTTTTGTCTCACCCTATCTACATTTTCAAATCGCTCTCCTTCTACATTTCTGCCTCTTAAGGCCGTTTTGTTTCACTTTATCTACATTTT